AAATATGGTGTACGAAGCTACAAACTGCGTTAATTATATATGAGTCCGGTAATTCGTGCGTTTGGGGACAATTTTAACTGTTACAGCTTCTCAAAGCGTGCAAACCCCTCATTTGCACGTTCCCTCAAAACCAGCCCACAGTTATCATTACGCTGCTTTTTAGCTACGATTAATGAACCCATGGATGCCGGACCAACTGCAAACTCACGTGAACGATTATAGAGGTCGCATACCGATGATGTAGTTAAGACCGAAATACTGGCCTCATAAATAGGAACTTTACGTCAAAGTAATTTCAGTTTTCTAATTTCCTCAGAAATGAACTTCTAACTCAAAGTAGGCCAGTTTATTCAAAGATCTACAAGTGTAGACCGAAACATGATATGCACCAATGGCCGAAGTCCATCAATCACTGTGACATAACCACGCATTATTTAAAAGCTGCCGGCAGGCAGTCAATAGTATAACCTACGAGATTATGTGCAATACTGAAAGCACAGGTACTAGCTAAAGGCAGCAGCAGAATATCGGCGAAACGTTTTTCTGAGCTTTTAGCTAGTACATGTGCTGCCAGTATGGCCAATAATTAAAAACGTTATTTTACACAAAAAAACTTTCTTAAGTCCTTTATAGAAAGCAGATTCATAGCAATATACAAAATTACTGGAGAACATGTGCAAAAAGTAGTAATAGTCTCTTTCCAACGTTTCAACGATACCGGTGGCTGTGAATATTAGCAAAAGCATCTAACATGCTATTGTGTACGGATTAACGAGCGATGATGTTCCAAAGCGAGTGAAGCGAAACCGACTAGTTAAAGAGGAATATAAAAATTTTGGTAATAGAGTCTTGTGTATTTAGCAGATTCGCAGAATTCATCCAGCTGAATTGTGAAAAACTGGACGTCCGCGGTGAGATTTGAATCTGGGATAGCAAGGCGAAAGTTACGCTAGAGTTAACACCCTCAGGAGCCGCGAGTCTAATCGTACTTGAGTTAAGGTAGCCGTCCAGGTTACTGCAACTTGACCACTTTGGGACCAAACTCAGAGTTTATGACGGATTCTCGTGACTCAGGTGATTTGAGCGTTTGCTATATTCTAACGAGGAGTACCATGCATCATGACCCGAGGAAATTTCAGTCATACTAGGATGCTAGCTTGCCAATACCACCCCTTCCGAACGTCTGCAAAAACCCTCAATAAAATGGCTACTTAAGTAGCATGCACTTTTCTAGTAATTTTAGATATGATTATATATTACAACCTATGCACCAAATATCCTTTCTGGTATTTAGA